ACCTATGTCTGGGCCCTGCTTGTCCTGGGTACTCTGGGCAACCACCTTGGGCCTGGTCTGGCTGGGCTGGAATACCAGACGGGCTGCAGGACACTGCCCTGCCCTTCACTCTTCAGGCAAAGAATCGCACAAAATGGTTGGAGAGCCAGATTTCGTTTTCTGTGTTCAACTTTGAAAAAATGAGATCCCACGAAAATTTCTCTTGGAACCAAGATGGGTCTTTACCATGGCTGTGTCCCAGGGGTGCCTGGGGAGTCTGGTGTCTGACGACAGACTTTGTGTGTGAATGGGGTGATGTTGTCACCTGTGCTGAGCCTCTTCTCTAGAGGGCAGTATCTTAAGTTCTAGTGTCCACAGACTCACCTGGGCAGCAGGGGACCCACTCCCAGTGATTCTGACTCGCGGGTCTGGGATGGGGCTCACACTCCCTGATGATTCTCATGATTCGGGCACAGGTGGCCCACGAATCAGACCAAGGACTGCTACCCTTGGGGATGATTTCATCAGACCCCATCAGGGTCTGTTGCTCTGGTTTGTTTTTTCATTCTTTCTTTTTTACCTCTCTTCAGCTCTATGATTTCTTTTCTCTGCCCTGCCCTTGACTGGTGAACCCATTTGGACAAAGCTGTGTTGCCTTCCTTTATCCCACTGAAGTGGATGTGTTCGTGTCAAATTTTAACTGCACACATTTGCACTGGCCCTATCCAGACCACTCATCTCAATGAATATCAAGGGTGGGGGTGGGAGAATGTTTTTTTGCAATCTGTCAATCCCTAAAAGACAAAACAAAACAAAACAAAACGAAACAATGCGTGGCAGTGTAATTCCACTGCAGAACCCGGGGTACTGACCCCTGAGCAGCAGACACAAGTATTTTGAGGAGCATTGACCTTCACAGATATTTATACATTCTTTGCCAGCACTTAACATGAAGTTATGAGGAAACAAGTGTGATCTGAAGGTGTCTGTAAGAAGGAAAACAAGAGAATTGAATTCCTCTCTTTCCTCTCTCTGGCCCAATCTTTACTTAACAAAAATGCCAATGTCTGGCTCTAAAAGAAATAGCTGTTCTTATGGAGAATGTTCTCTTGGTTGAGCATTGGGAGAGTCAAATTCACAGGAGGTTCACAGACACTAGAACTGTTGGTGAAAGTAGAAGTGAAGTCCTTCTTCGTCATCTTGGTTCCATCCAGCAGAAGGAGAAACCGGAAGTCCAGACATGCAGGGGTTGTCCCTGTCTGTGTTCCAACACCCACTCGGTGTCCTACAATTCAATTCAGTCCTGACACTAACCACCTGGAGTTAGCACAGACTCCACAAGTTCAAAGGCACAGTCCCCAACACAATGCCCTTATTTCAAATGCCACCTCCAAGTGGGGTCCCCAGGCCACCTGTACTTCTGTCTGATGTGGCTACAAATTTAGGGGTTCCTATGACCCCCCCCCAGGTTTGATAATTTGCTAGAACAACTCACAGAGCTCAGGAAAGTGCTGTACAGTACTTATGATTACAGTTTTATTATAACAGATGCAGGTGAGGAACAGCCACTTTGAAGAAGTGCAAGGGATCAGGGCCTTGGAGGCTTCAGAAGGTTGACCCTTGCGTGCAGCTGGCAGGAGAGGAAAGTGAGTGAGTGGGGGGCTGCAGGTGAGTTTAGGAGGGCCAGGCCTGGGGGCAGTATACCTCCCTTCTCCTCACATTCGTGGGCAGAACTCAGGCACGTGGTGTGACCTAACCGCAGTGGGAAATGTCAAATAGCTGTGTGCCCAGGAGGTAGATAGAGGATGTGGTTTTTAGTAAACACATAGCAGCCTCTACCAGACTGTTCCTGGAATATGCCAAGCAGGCTACTGCCTCGGGGCCTTCACATTTGTCATTTCCACTGTACGGATTATTCTTCCCCCAGATAACCTCATGCCTCATTCCCAAAGTACCTTCAGGTCTCTGCTTAGAAGATACCTTAACAGAAAGGTGGGCTCACCAACACTGTGTGAGATAGTGACCCCACTCCCACTCTGTGCTCCCTGTCCCCTAACAATTGAATAATAATTTAGCTAGTCAGGGCTCTTGATCACATGGAATAGAAGCAGACTCTTAACTTAAATGAAAAATAATGTAAGGGTATTAGGGAACTCACTCAATCAACAAGAAGACTGGAGAACCCAACTCAGGGAGTCAGGGCCCAGCTCAGACTTGGTTGCGGGGAGAATGTGGTTTAGATGCCATCATCCTCGATACTTGCTGCCATACTACCCATTCCTAGTTTCCCCTTTGAGTCACTCTCTCAAGGGCAGGGGCATCAGGTTGGCTTTAATGAAGTCATGGGCCTGTACTCTAGCTCCTGGGGGACGAAGAGGACAACTATCTGTCATGGGAAATGAGGGCTTGATTCCCATCTATCTAGAAATTCCCTTAAATGAGAAGTGTTCCTGGAAGCTGGGTAGCCAAAACAATAAATGTCCACCTCAGCTGGGTATGAAACTCCAGGTTGATGCCATTGTTTTTATGACATTATTTAATTTTTTACGTTGTGTACTTTTGTTGTTAAGAAGTTTGCTATCTACTTTGTAGGTAATTTTCTTTTTCTCTCTGGGTTGCTTATAAGAATTTTTCTCTGTGTTTGATATACTGCAATTTTACCGCGTGACTAGATAGGAATTTATTTACTCTGCTTAGGACTCGTTGTGCCTTTCAATATAAAGATGTTTGCCATTCTTCAGTTCTAGAAAATCCCCCGACATTTGTCTTCAAATACTACTTCTCCCCCTTTACTCTTCAGAAATTCGTATTAGAAATACATTGGACTTTTCATTATATCTTCCATATCTCTTACAGAGAGAGAGTCATGTTTTCTAGCCATTTGACTCTGGCCTATATTTTGGGAAGTTTCTTCAAATATATTGTTCTTTTCTTTAATTCTCTCTTCAGTTATGTCTAATCTGATGTTTAACTGATGCATTTCATTTTTATTTTCAGTGATTATGGTTTTTATGAAGTTTTATTTCATTCTTTTTCAAATCCACCTGTTCTTTTTTCATATTCTTTTTCCATAATGCTCTTGCTTTAGGCTTTCTTTCCTTATTTTGTCTCTTCCATTATTTTAGATATTCGTTTTTGTAATATTGCAGAGACTGCTCTTGCCTGTGGTCCCTGGGGTCCTATATTTTCTCTCTCTTGCATTCCAACTCTCCTCTCAGGACAGTTTATTTCTTTGTGTGATTGATTCTTTTTTTTTCAGGGATTATTTTCAGCGGGAGGTTTTTGTCTTGTTTTGTGGTGAAGGATTTTTTTTTTTTTTTAACTGAGAGAGTCCTCAGTGCCCTGCATTGTGAAAACTCCCCTCCAGTGTGGTTTTGCATTTTCTTCTTCTGGGTACTTGAAGTTACAGCTAGGGTGGTTCCACAAGGTGAGGAAAGCAGGAAGGGAGAATGAATAAATTTAGAATTAGCAAATCACCTCAGAAAGGTAGCCTGTCTCTCCTCCCGGGATAGGACACTGGGCTGAGTTGCTACTGTCTCTGTCTTTCCATTACAAAATCGTGAAATCTGTGTGTTCTTTCCTGCTTCAGCTCCAGGAGGTCCAGGAGTGTAAGTAACAGAAAACCTAACTCAAACAGGTTTTAAACAGTTAGGTAACTTATTGGCTCATGTGATTAAAAAGGGCAGAGGTAGTATGAAAATGGCATCAGACTCTTATATCCATCAAATTCCATTTTAGATTAAGAACCTTCCTCCAAAGTCTTCTCCTTACTTTTCATCTCTCTCCCCTCTCTAGGACTCTCAGACACAAATACTACTACCAGATCAATCCAGTAGAATCACAGCTCTCAATATGTCACAGGGGTCCCTGGCTCAAGAACCTTCGTAGGCTTGTTTAATGCCTCTGGTAGAAAGTCCAAATCATTTTGGTTGGCATTCTAGGCCATTCATTTCTCCAACTTTGTCTCGCCCGACTCCTCTTTGCGCATCCTTAAATTCATTTCACCAAATCTACTCTCTCTTCCACTCATTCCCTCCTTGAACTGTCCCTGCTCTGAACTCCAAGTGGGATTTTTCTTTGGCCCTTGCCCATAGCATTCATATTCTGTTTTGCGTTTGAGTTATTGGTGTACGTGTCTCACACCACCCCTTTGATTCTCCAAGTTCCTGGAGGATGGAAGCCTTACTTATGGATGGAAGTCTGACTTATCTTCCTATTTCCTGTGGTGCCTAGCAGAGGGCATGTCACACAAAAGCTGCTCCAGTGGGCCTCAGTGAATCAAGGCACTTCCATTCCTCTTGCCAGTGATGAGGTTAAGCCAGGGTAGTGGCTCCCGAGTCTCACAGAGCAGGTATACACACTTCAGCAGATTCTCACGGGGCACTACGGGCCTAGGAGTCATTGCTTTAATGGGGGTCAAAGGGCTCAACCCTGGCAGTGAGGCTGGAGAACAGTGCTGGGGAGAGTGGTCCCTGCTGTAAGGTCTCTCTCTCTCGCCCACCCCTGGGCCTCCTGGCCAGGCCCCACTCTATTACACCTCCTTCAGGATGCTTTCCTGGCCCAGCACCTATCTTCACAGGCCCTGTGCAGCTTCAAGACTGTTCCTGTCTGAAATATAGTGAATCCTGCCTGATGCAGTTGTCTTTAATGTGAATACGATGTCTTCCAAGTCAGGAGCCCAGGGGTGTTTTGGGCATCTTGGCACACCCTTTCCATGGGCCTTGCATACAACAGGGACTCACAACAAATATCTGTTGCTTAAAGGAGTCCATTCAAGTCAAAAATTATGTACAGTTTGCCAGTGTCCCCAGCACTAACCCCAGAGTGAACAACACCCGAGCGATCGGGAACCTGATAGAGCTGTTTGGTGACCAAATTTGTGTCTAGCAGGGGGCCTTGTTCACTGCTATGTTGAGCCTAGTACAGTGTCAGGCCCATGGCAAGTTTTTAAATGCCCATGTAAGTTTTTAAATGAAGGAATGGATGAGTTAATGGGTGCATCTTTTGATCTCCTCCAACAGATTACAACAGCAGTGAATTAAAAACAGCCTGCAGGAAGCATGAGCTTTATGTGAGCTTCCAAGACCTGGGATGGCAGGTGAGTTCTCTGGACAACAAGGGGAACAAAGGTCAGTTCTCAGCAATCTCTTCTCATCTTAATGGCAGCAGCCGTCATCAAAGACTTTGAGGTTTAGGACTGAGATGGTTCCTCCCCTGAAGATTTTTAGGGGCCCTTCCAAATGCCCAGGCTCCTGGTGTAAGGTGGAGGAAGGCCCGGGCTACTTGTATACCAAGATGCCATTGGCATCCTCCAGGCAGCCCCAGATTCCCAAGTTCTATGTACCTAAAAATCAATAGCCACGGGGCCAGCCCAGTGGCATAGTGGTTAAGTTCGTGCACTCTGCTTCAGCGGCCCAGGGTTTGCAGGTTCGGATCCTGGGTGCAGACCTACGCACTGCTCATCGAGCCATGCTGTGGCGGCATCTCATATACAAAATAGAGGAAGAGGGGCACAGATGTTAGGTTGGGGCTAATCTTCCTGGCAAATAAAAATAAAAAAAAAATCAATAGCCATGTTTCCCAATACTCTTCCTTCATTCTTTCAAAGTCCACAGGACGTATTTATTTGGGCATTTGAACAAGTTTTCATTGTGTTCTGAGAAAGGGTTGGAAAAAACTGATATAATTGTTAACTTCTCCAGTAGTTAAGTAATGGCTATAAATTCGCTCACTCAGACTATCGAGAAGAGCACAAATGTTGTGCCCCACACCTGAGAGCCACCACTAGTTTATAAGAAACGAAGCAAATTATAAGTGGAAAGTGATAGAAGATACAGTTTCCATACACAGGTGGCATTAAGATGACAAGGGAGTACCCTGGGGTCCTGGAGAGGCTCCTTTGGGTCCAAGTACATAAAACCAGCCACCTGTGTGCTTCTAGGCCTACCAGGCAGGTAGCAGCTTAAGAAAGGCCTTGTGGGTCTGTGGAAGGAGCAAGGGCTCCAGAGTCAGACCAGCCAGGTTCACACCCTAGCTTTGCCACTTGAATGTGAACCTGACATCATGTGTCTCCTTAACTGTCCAATGTGAGTAATAACTTCTCACAGGGTTACTGAGAGCACAGGCAATATAAGGAGTGTATGTTAATCTCTTTTTCTGTTGCTTCCTTTTGCTTTAAATTAAGGACTGGATCATTGCACCCAAGGGCTATGCTGCCAATTACTGTGATGGAGAATGCTCCTTCCCACTCAACGCACACATGAATGCTACGAACCACGCCATCGTACAGACCTTGGTGAGCTCAGAGGCACTTTGACTGTATGGGTAGGAGGAAGCCAAGACCACGTATCGTTTCTAATGGTGCCTTTCCCTCCGTTTTGGAACAGGTTCACCTTATGAATCCTGAGTATGTCCCCAAACCATGCTGTGCACCAACTAAACTAAACGCCATCTCGGTTCTTTACTTTGATGACAACTCCAACGTCATCTTGAAAAAATACAGGAACATGGTTGTAAGAGCTTGTGGATGCCACTAACTCGACTCTAGTTGCTGGGGACGCAAAAACCACCTTGGATTCTAGACTACACCTGCCTTAAAACATGCCGAAGCACGGTGAGAGTGGAGGATGACTCTGAAACCCCCTCAAGCGGGTTGGTGCCTTGCTGCCCAAGGGAGATTTAAAGGACCTGATGAATCATCTGCTCACGTGGTAAATAACGTAGTTGTTGGTCTGGAGGAAGCTGAGTTTGAATGTCTATAGTATGAAGTCTGGTACCTGCAGAAACAACTTTGAAGGGTTCCCCTCTCCCTCCCCAAAAAAGCCCACGAAAATTAGTTTTAGCTTTAGATCAAGCTATTTGTGGTGTTAGTGAGTCAATAGGGAAAATAACCTTAAAGGAGTAAAAGTCTTCTTGGTAAAATATCGTCGGTTCAGTCGTATTTCTCAAAGGTAGATTTTACAAACAGAAATTGGGGGAAAATGCCTCTATTCATAGATTTCATTACCAGGAAGGTCCATTTCATAGAGGATCAACAGCCCGGGCTGTAACCAGGCTATGTGGAAGTGCCTTTTGTCTCGGTCAATGCTGTTACGTGTTTGTGCTGCAGTTTGTTGGTGTGAAAATATACTTATTTCAGTTAAAACAAACCATATCATTTCCACATGTCAATCCTCCCCCATTTGCTGTTTTCTTTGCTAGTACCAAAAGTAGACCGATCATAATCTGAGCTGACACTGCAAGGGGTGAGAAGCATTTTTAATAGCCATCATGTTAACCATGTAACGTGTGAAAGCAATCCTGCACCTCTTCTTGTTTGGAATGGCTCTTTGAAAAGCACATTAACTTCAGGAACATCGGCTCTAATAGCTCATCTATTTCAGTAAAATGGTTCTTTGCCTTTTCCCATCCAGCATCCTGTGTCTCGGGGTGAGACCCAAGAAGGGAAATAAACTGAGGGAGGGGCCCAGCCTCTAGGAATGGGTTTGGATGGGCATGCTGTTTCTGAACCGAAACCACAGTTTTCTCTTGTAAGAAGTAAGACTCAGATTAAATCTTACAATATTTTTAAAATGTCTTTTTCACAATCATGTACTAGGAAACCAATTTCATACTAAACTGATTAAATAATACATTTATAATCTATAACTCTTTGCACTTACAGCTTTTTTGTAAATATAAACTATAATTTATTGTCTATTTTATATCTGTTTTGCTGTAACAAAGGAAAGACCAGACTTTTTTTAAAAAAAGAGTTTATTTAGAAAGTATCATCGTGTAAACAAATTGTACCACTTTGATTTCCTTTTAATACAAGACTCATGATGCAAAGCTGAAGCCACTCAAGAGGAATGTGCTTCTCTAGAAAGTTGGGTTTTTTTAAAAGAACATTTGTGAACCAAACGTGATTAATAAAGATTTCCTTTAAGGCAGACGCTGGTTGAGATCCTGCTCTGTTGTCATCTGCCGCAGACAACACGAGTGGTCTTGTTGCTAAGATGCTTACCACCAGTTACTTTGTGCCAAGTGACCACATCCCCGAGCATGGGAGGTGGGGTGAGGAGCACTGGACACAGAGGGGTTATCAATCACGAGAAGTCACTTGATGGCAAAGAACATACAGGTGCATATCTTAAGGGGGCCTAGTCCTATGATTGCTTATTTCCAAGGGTGATGGTAAAAATACTTAATAACCAGGATGGCATGAATTATAAAGATGCCAGCATCGACAGTAACGTGGCCTAATTAATTCAGCCCTGCCTACTTCAAGTCTTTGGTCTTGAGGTCAAGTTAATCCCACTCTTCATGCAGCAGCAGGTCAACCTCCTCCAAGGCAGACAAAGTACAGTGAGCCTCTAAAAGGACTATTTAGGAGCAGAATCTGAAACTGCTTCCAGTTAGGGCCCTGGAGTGGGGCTGCAGGGTCCCCCTGGTCCCCGATACCCAGACCTAAAAGCTCAGCTAGCCCTCTTGCCCCCAGTAGCAAATACAACCAGAATCTTTCTATGAGTTGGTTAATAGAATAATCAGGACAAGGCTTGTGGAAATTTCCAAGCCTGCCTTTTCCATGGGAGACATCAAATCTTAAAGTTCACTTGGACTCTGGCTTCATGTTAACGTAACTAATGAAATCATTTCACCCATGAGAGACAAACAAACAGAAGTATCCCTTGAACGGTAATAACTGATTGATTGACAAGTCTTGACACACACACACACACACACACACACACACACACGATTATGGCATCAGCATTATCTTACTCAGGCACATGTCAAAAGTACCATTGCTTTCATTATGGCTAACCTCTCATGATGATGAGAGAAGTATTAACAAACAGAAACAGAAAATCTGGGAGTGGCCATGAAGGTATCTTCCAGAGGTGTGGGATTTTTGTTTTTGAATCTGCCACAAGCTATGGACCAATCACATTAGTTATTAATAAGTCAATTGTGGCCTTCAGATCAGAGGAACATCAATACTGCCACAGGCCACCTTTCCAGAACTCGTGGGCAGTTCAAAAACTATGCTTTGGATGATGCTTTCACCAGAATCACTCAGGAGCCAAATATAGTCCAGCAGTTTGATTTTCCTCAGCTCTATTTCAGTCTCAAAGCAAACCATTTAGATTTCATCAAGAGAAGGTTAAAGGGGATGATAGATGGCCACTGAAAATATTTATTTTGCAAAGGGATCATGAGTTACATGTTTACTTAGAGAAACTTAATAAAGAGTCTGTAGAGTGTTGGCTTAAAAAACACACACACAAAGAAGATACCACAAGTTTAGTACATTCAGCTTTCCGAATAACCACCATTTAAAACTCAGCAACATCCGCATGGTTTAGCTCCAATACACAGGGTGCAGGAGGCCGGGCAGGAGCGGTGACTTCCATCTGGGTTTCTACAGTTCGTCTTTTGCCTGGCGCAGAACAAAGTAGTGCAAGGAGTCGAGGTCTCTACCTCCACTGTGCTCACTGACTTTTTTTCCTCCACGGAAAAGCAACAATGTGGGATAGCCTCGTACCTTAAAAAATAAATAAATAAATAAAAATTAAAACTTTGAAAACCAGTGGTTCAAATCACTTCTTAAATAAAATCTGAAAAAATCCTACAGTTGTGGCCAGGGAAGTCTATGGTTTAAAAATGTATAGACCATTTAAAAAGTACCCGATAGGTAGTTCAGAGAGCAAAGCCTTGGGGCCACTGATCACTTTCCAATCCAAAACTACAGTCACAATTAGTGTCGAAGGAATGCCTTTACCCAAAAGTGGAGCTTCTCGATCTTTCACATGCACACCATCCCCTGGGGATCTGAAGAAAATGCACCTTCTGGTTCAGCAGGTCTGGGGTGGGGCCTGAGACTCAGCATTTCTGACAAGCTCCCTGGTGACACCCGGCCTGCTCTGTGGACCACGCTGAGGAGCAGCAAGATCCTCAAGGATGTATATTTTTCAGCTGCAACTCAGCTCTTTTTTAAGAATTTTAAGGCACAAAAGATGACTGGCATCTTCAAATGTTCAGTAAACAATGTCTGTGCTACATCGACTCTCAATCTAATGAGGTAATAAACTTCAGAGGCCTCCAAAGTGTTTTAAGAAAACAACACAAAAGGAAAAATATAAATTACAAATCTCCTAGAGTATGAGATTGTGCTAACAGCTCGGAAGGAAGGCCACAGTTAAATAAACAACCCCAGCAAAGACCGGCTTGTTGGTATGGCCCTTTCAGGAGGAAGTTTACGTTCAAACGTTTCCCTTACTCAGCCACTGTCCTTCAGAATGCTGGCTTATGTCTGAAAAATAAGCCACTTAGGTGTTTATGATGAAGGCTGCAAACCAGCTGACTGTTCAGCCGACGAGAACGGCCACGTAGGTGGCACCCCATTTTCAAGCTTCGAGTCTGTTATGCGCAGCCTTATACCCAGACAGCAAGACCTAAAACCCCCACTGAAATGTTACACTCATACAAGAAGAGAGCCTTTCCTCTGAGGGAGCATCTCTTTTGCTTTTCAAAAGGAAAAAAAACACACCAAAAACTCAAAAGGACATGAAAAACGCTTTGTTGAGAGGGTGAGGGCAGCGTGAGCTATCCTGGTTGAGTCCACAATATCAAATCACAGTTCCACTTGGCATCTGCTCCCAATACTTAGAGCCCCCGTCAGCGTTTTCATCCACGTGTACCCACCGAGTACTTGCTGCAAATGTTCCGTTCGGCAGTACAGTCCACTTCGGCGATCTTGACCTCTGCCAAACCAGGGAATTCCTTTTTAGAGAGTTCCTCCCAAGTAGGAGCCAGATTCTTACAATGACCACACCTAGGGACACAACAATGACAGCTTTGTTGAAGTCTTGTGTCAAGCTCACTCACCTACATTTCACTGCCAAGCCAAGCCTTGTTTCTTCTGTATGGGGCAGCCAACAACTGCCTAGACATTTACAAACCATCCAATTCTCCACTGGGTGCACGAACTCTTCCTCCCGCACCTCCTCTTCCTCCCCCATCCCAAACAAGGAATTCAAAACCAGTCCAAAGTAGGCTTTCGGGTAACCTGAGAGACAGAAGCTGGTCTAGAAACAAGTGTAGATTTGACACTATTTCCATGACACAGTAAACTGGGCTAACTGGCTTATGAATGCACCATGAGCAGAGGGAGATGAACAGGAAACTAGACAGACTCCAAACTTTTTTTTCCAAAAATCACTTGAATGCCAAAAACATTTCAGATTTGATTGCTTATGGTCTCAAAATTTCAAAACAACTTCAAAGCATCCCTGAAGCTTCAGTGATCTGGTGCGAGCACTGCGGTCTCTACCGAGTTCTGTTCAAACCTCCCGTCCACCCGTTACTGTGTCCCTTTCCTGACCCCAGCCCCCAACTATATGAACCACTCCCCTTCAATAAAAGGGGATCTTCTGTCCTCATACTTGATCCATACAGCTTTAGGTTTTTTAAAAATAGAAAATAGTTTTAAAGGCATTATTTACTAGTGTTTCTATTCTTTAAGAATAAAAACTGCACAACTCTTAAGAGCCATGTGCTCATTAACTTTTATCTCCACTATCATGGTTTCTCATGAAGACCAGGAATGAAACAAACTGAAGAGCAAAATGACATGTGGGGACTTTACTTGTTCATGTTTAGAAATAGAACTAACACTCTGCTTTTCCAAGTGGACTGCTTTATTCGTGAAGACAAAGCATTCTTCCCATTTTACAGCCGAGGAAACTGAGGTTCCAAGGAATTAAAGGACACCAGAGTGACAGTAGTCCACTCGAAACCTAGCGTCTTCCCACCACTTGGTCTCCAACCCTGTGGGTCCATCTCGGCTCTGGTCCCTGAGGACCACGTGGCAGGAAGGTTCCGGTAACTGGGTAACATACTGAATGGCTCTAACACAAAGCTGAGCTCTACTGGATTTCTCTCTAACATCAAAAAGAGACTAAGGAGCAAAGCTACATCATAATGTTCATGGTTTATTTAACCAAGAAAGCAATCTATTTGGAAAAGTACACAGATACCACAAAACTTAAGTTTTGTATAGCCATCATAATTCTCCATTTTTATGTTTTTTCCAAAGCAGACTGAACTTTAAATTAACCTCATTCTCCATAAGTAACTATTTGTGAATACCACCAAACTTTAACATATCCAAATATAGGAGCATAACAATAACATTTCCTTATTTCCTACAACATAACCTCTGTATAAACATATCTGCCCAACATTGAGCCTGGAGGGTTGGCTTATGAGTTGAAAAATATGATGTACCTTAAGTGCACTAGGACAAAATAGTTTCTACTTAACAGCCACTTACCATGGAGCATAGAACTTGATGAAGGTTATTCCTTCTGCAATGGTGTCATCAAAGTTATTTTCTGTGAGTGCCAACACAGTGCCCTTCAGGGGAGGGAAAAGCCACAGTTCAAATACATTACTTCGAGTAGAGTGGGGCCATGCTTTGGGATTGCAGAAATATAAACCAATAATCTTTTTAAGTGCTGTCATGCATGCTCCAAGGTCACACAAAAATACCTACACAACTTGCATTTCACAAGCCACACAAGAGGGCGGGACAGCAGCCTCTATTCATCCCAGGTCCCAGGGTCCTGAGCCCTGGAGAAGCAGCGGGGAGGTGGCAGGACACAGTCGCTGTTCTGCCCCCAGCCAGCCCGGGTGGGCTCCAGTGCAGCTGCTGCCTCCCGGGCTCTGTGGTGTGGACCAGTCAGCTCTGGGTGGCCTGAGCTTCAGGCTGCCCCTCCCCGGCCTGGAGCCTCCGATACCGCCGGGAGAGTCCACACACCCACTCACGGGCCCACCTGAAGCCTGCACCTGGGCTGCCTTTCTGACTGACTCCACCACTCGCACATCACATGGATTCCTACAAATTACCTTCTCTATGGAACAGAAGGAACTTAGTTACAAAAGCACAGGCCATGATACGTGTTTTACATATAAGAGGCTTCTTTCTATTTAAATTCAAAGTAAATGTGAAAACTCTTCATTTAAGCTCCGGCTGGAGAATTTAGGGAAAGGTGCCACAAGGCAGTCTGCTCTAAAGCGATTCTATCTTGACAGTTCTTTACAGAATTACGTCTATGTGTTTCTCCAAAAATGGATCTGGAATTCTCTCACGAGAGCAAGAATACAGATGATTTATCATGTGGCTAAATGTACCAGGGCTGCTCCACTTGAGTCTGGCATCAAGTAACGTGTGTCAGTGATTCGGAGGCGAAAGGCGCCAAGGAAGCCATTGTAGAACACTACCATCTTTCTTTATATCCAGAAATGTGACACCACACTCACTGAAAGACCCACTTAATGGTGGAAAACTTTATTATAAATAGAAACCGTTCTGTGTTTGATGAAAACATCCATAGTATATAATTATACTCAATTTGGGATGACCTTTATAACCACCATGACACACGCACTCCTCTAACATATGTGGTCATAGCAACTACAAACTCATTTGTTTATTTCTTAAACCAAAACTTCAACTTTTAACTAACACCCAGGCAGTCCCCAACCTACAAGAGTCTAAGGGAGGGGCCGTGGGGGCAAGCAGGCCCATTACTGCCCCCACCCTGGGAGGACGGGATCAGTGGTTCTGCTGGCTTTTCCGACTCCAAACAACTGGGGCGCAGGGGGTGATGGCTCCAGCGAGTCCTGATCTCTAGGTAAATGCTGAATGTTCGAGAGTTACTGAGGAGGCGTTCGCACCCATGAGGAACAAGGGCACACTACTCCTTCCTTTGCTGCAAGGTCCTGGTGTCCCAGCTCAGAACTTGGCGTGCTATGTAAACTGAGGCAGCAGTGTAAGTATTCTGCGGTGGAAATAACGTTGACAAACAGGCCTCACGGTTCTTAGCTAGGAAATCCGAGCGCTGTTCGCCTGGGAAAGCATTATTTGGACGCCCCTTGAATAACCTCATTTTCACCCAGGGCTTCAGCACGGGCCTCTACCTAAAGCTGCAGACACGTACACCCACTCTTCTAGTGTAGACAGCCTGCTTTAGCTCTAGACTCATATCTAACTGTCCAGTGGACGTCCTGACCTTAATATCCCCACAGCCCTGAAGACCAACATCTTGAACACGGAACTCATCACCTTCTTCCCCCTGGTCCTTATCTCGTGCTTGGGGCCTCTGGCCACCAGATATGCCAGAAACCTGACAGTCACCTCAGAGCCCCCCATCCTGTGCTCAGCAGAGGGGGACTCCTTAAGCTTGCTTTCTCCTTCTCTCCGTCCCCACTGTCACAGCCTTAGTTTGGAGTCTCATCATCTTTTACGGCCTAATACACTGGTTTTCCATCTTTTTCATGCACGCTCCTGCCAATCATTTTTCTAAAATTCAAATCTGCTCGAAACCCTCCATGGGCTCCCTATAAATATAGGATAAAGCTCAAAATCCTCGTCTGGCTGACGAAGTCCTCTACAACCCCACTCCTACCTCTCCTTCTCGCTGGCATCCTGCACTGCATCCCTTGTCCTCCTTCACCCCGTTTCCTCCAGCCGACTGCGGGCCTGCCCCAACTGTGCCAGGCTGACTCACACCGGCGTGCCTCTGCTCATGCTCTCCCTCCAGCGCACAAGCCTTCCCCACCACGTCTCTCCAGCAAGTACCAATTCACCCTTCAGCTCTCAGTGACACTTCCTGCCTATCTGCCTCCAATCTCACCAGCACCTGTGAGTGGCCCAGCACACACTTTTCTCTCAGGCCCTGTGGGACACCTGTTTGTACATGTTCTCATCTGTCTCCCCCACAAGACCCAGCACCCTTCACAGGCACGAAAATGGTCTTGTCTCTGTTTCTGGTGGCCTAGGACAGTGCCTGAAACACAAGGGCTTGATAAATGCAGCAAGACTGACTCTAAAACCACATACTGTCTGGAGGAATGGAGATGACGGCGCCATGAGTCAGACACTGCTGAAACAAATTACGTTCCCTTCCAATTCCAGCGTGTGCATCCTCTCTGCTCCAGATCCTTCAGGGGCCTTGACTGCAGGCTTCAGGGAAAGTGACCGCAGCAAGTTATGGAAATGAACAGACACACAGGCCTGAGAGGCAGCAGCCAAGTTTTCACAGCAAATACCCTCAAGTATAGTGATTGAATCAAAGGGAAGAATGTTCCAGAGACACTGACACCAAATACTCTCAAGATTTATCTCATATCTATTCACATTTTTAAAAGGGAAGCTTTTGTTTACGTTTACCCCTTAGAAACATGTAAAAGTAGTTGAAGAAAATGTTTCCTGTTGAAAAGTCAGCCATAGCCAACCATCTGAATTACTCTGTACTGTCCCCAAACTGTCATTTTGTCCGAGTGTTTGAGGAGAATGCTCTCTGGGGGTGGAGGCTCTGAGCCATTTCTGGCCATTCTGACTGCAGCAAGCACCCACCTGGTCGGCCACAGGCTCGGCAGCCGGTGCTGGGGCCTCCGAAGGCTCCACCATCTCCGGGGCGCCCCTCTCTGCGCTCTGGCGCTGTGATTCCACATATTCTCTCAGCGACTCCAAATCCCGCTTTCCCTTGTACTGATCAATCTGTCCGAGATACGGGCCACACAGACACGCTCCCGAGTTATTACACGCAAGCCCTCTAAATCACTCAAACCTCCTCCCGACCCCACTTGCCCACGTGAGACCTCCCATTAGATGTCTTCACTATGGCTGTGCACGTTGTGCGATGTGTGCATGCTCAGATTTAAATCGGAAGGTAGATTATAAACCGAATGTTTTGGCTTTGATGAGAGAACTTCACATGTCCTTCCTTCTACAGAGCTCCGAGTCACGAATGTCTGGGCGCTGACTCAGGTATTCTGAGACACTAACCATCAGCCGGGACCGGGAGGGAGAGAGGGAGGAAGAACCTCACCAAGAGCAGGCGTTAACCCCACTCAAAGGTCATGATCAGAGCACACTGACCCTCAGAGAGTAGATCTGGGTTATTCCAGTGATAACCTGAGCCAACTGAAGTGTTTCAAAATAGTATAACTGACAGTTTTTCTCAACTACCCAAATCTTATCAATTAAGAGAAAGACATTTTTGTTCCACCCCCTGTATGCCTTTAAACCAGGGCCCAAACAATCCATGGGGGCAATTCGCCACACCTGTTAAACCACTGGACGGCTCAGCCCTCTGTCATTAAGAGAAACAATTTGTCTCAATACGAAGACCTGAAGACGTACCTTTTTACCATCTCGGAACCAGAGAAGAGTGGGATAGCCACGAACCTGGTTTCCGGAACAGAGTTCATAGTGCTGTGTACAATCAACCTAAAAATAAAGTAAGATCATGTTTCCAGTTTCCTCGAGCCTTCCTGCTAAATGGACTACTGGACAGTCAGCACTTTAAAAAAAAGAAACTTTCTAAAATTCCCAATCTGTAACATCTCTGCCAGCAAGTTGCAGTTTTTGAAGAGACTTTTCCTAAAAGCTACCCCAAATTCACCTGAGCTAAGGGAGCAGGGTGATGAGATTTACTTAGAGAAAATGCCAATTTTTAGGAGGCACATTTTACCTTGAGCAGTTAGTAGATGGGGAAGGAGAAGGGAGCCTAGCCTGCCGTCTAGGAAGGGGCAGGCCTGGCTGTGGGTGACGGAGACTCAGACCATCACAATGCCAGCTCAGAAATTTATTCTCATGTTCAAACTTACAGTTCTAAAATCAAGGAGGAGCAAGTAGGCAATTTTAAATAGGAGTATTTGGCATATAATAAAGATAAAACTGAAAAGATGTCAAATTAAGATTATAATATGTTCTTAATTCTATAAGCTCAATTTACCAACTATCACAGTCTTTCAAATTTTTTATTTTACTTAAATCTTATAAAGATTCTGCTTTTTCAACATTTTCATGAAACATTTTATGCTAAGTCACTTTCTTTTTGATTTTCTACTGGCATTAAAATCAGCTATGTGGGACTAAGTCGTTTTTCACTATGTCAACAAAGTAAGATAAAAATATTACTTTAACAGATAAGACTGAAGTCAGAGAGCAGTTAACGTGATAAACTGAAGCACAGGAAGCCTCCACCTAAAGTCTGGGGGGCACCATTTTTAGGGTCCAGTCTGACCCAGCCACGTGGATGTCCAGAGATGAAGGGCCACAACCTGATACTTAGACTGTGTCTGCTCATGCCTGGTTCTTCTAGAAGCCTCTACTGACATACTGAAAATAATCTTCCATCAAAGTTCATAAAATAATTTAAAGTAAGGATACTAGGAAAGGGGAAGATAGAAAACGAGAAAATTATTTTATGATTACTGCCATGAAATGTTCAATAAACATAACATCATAATCATAACCCACATAACTAGAACATGTTATTGAAAGTGTTTAACAGGCAAAAGTGACAAGTTCACTTAACCGGCAGCAGTAACTATCACTATTTCCTAGGCATCTGCTCCTGCCAAGCATCGTATTAAGCCCTCGCAACCACCACACAGTTAGACCTCGTCTCGGTTTTGCAGAGGGGGAGACTGAGGTGTGGAGAAGTTGTCTAAGGCCAGCCAGCCAGGTCTAGCTGACTGCCAAGGTCATGCTTTTGACCATCTCACTGTGCTGGGCAGACCACCTCATTAACTCTAGTTCCTGGACACGTAGCACTATTTCTGTACGTGAATCAGCCCGCTGGCAAGGTGGAAAATGAGATTTTTATAAAGGAAATCCATGCAGGGTTGCCTGGTGGGTGCCACAGGCTGGATGAGATTAAGTGCTTGATGGCCTGGGAGTTATTCTGGAGCCGCTCTGGATATTTCCAGAAAATCCACTTACACAGAAGTTGTTAGACACCATTTCTGGCTCCTCTACGTAAAGTGGGGAAAGTTGGAAAGACTCCCAGGCAGCAGAACAAGCTGGGGCTCCCCGGGGGGAGGTCTTCTGCATGCCTTTGTGAGCACAGAGCTTGAGGGTCCTTTAGGAAAGTCTTGGGTGAGATCAAATGTGGATGGCCTCCAAGTATGTCCAGTGAACATTCTCTAAGGCTCTGCCCCATATCTTTGCAGAACGGGCTCTGGGGCTGCCAATTCAGAATTGGCCATTGCTTCAAAATAAACAAAGGAGCCAAAACCATAATTTATCTTTAGGCTGTGGAAAAGCCAGCACACTAGAAACCAGGCTGCCATCTGTGAAGGTGAAATGAATTATCAAGTGGCACACTAAATGGAATTAATAAATCAAGTTTGCAACTTTGCACACAGAATGAATAATGGGCTACTCTGCTAATTAATCCAGCCAAAGGCGGTCTATTTCCAGTTTAATAAGGGCTTTCACTTACCTTGCCAATCTTGACAGTTTCGGAATGTTCAAGGCCCAGAGCCAGCTGCTCCCAGGTCGGAGCCAGAGCTTTGCAGTGACCACACCACGGAGCGAAGAACTTGATAAAGTGGTCGCCTTTAGTGGAGAGCAGAGGCAGAGAAGGGGAAGAGGAGGTGGAATTTACATCACACCTAACTAGAGATGGAATGGGAGCATCTGATCTTTGTCCTCTTGCAGAGCTCAGTGCAGTATGAACCCTTTAACTGGTAAAAAGTGATTCTCCAGCAAATATGTCTATATCCATGAGTTCATAACGATCCTCAAAACAAAACCTAGTTTGTCATCTTTGGAGGACAATAGGGAACCAACTCATTATTTGGAAAACTGGCAATAATGGGAAAGAGTCAGGCATTTACCCTGTCTTTCCTATATGAACTGCACCACTGAATAACCAAGGGATAAACGAGGGGAAGTTTCTCTTGCTGAAAAAATGAAGAAACGATGTTTTAATTAGAATATCAGCATTTGGCAACCCTAATGAATCAATGGACCTAGGCAGTGACTGTCGTGGCTACTGACGTCTCAAAGAGAGATCACCAGCTACGAAGTCTTGCCCGTACCCCCCCAAAAACACCAAATGGAAACTGATTGTGTCCCTAGATCCAACCACCAATTCACAGGGAGTAGAAAACTCAGGGAAACACGTTCAACCACACCAAGGAGATACAACTGGCAAAGTCCAGACTGTGGAGACTCTACAGGTCAGACAACCTGCATGCTCAGCAAATGGAACACAAGGAAGAAAAAGCAATGTTGGAGGAACTCGTGGATTAAGAGACTTAAAAGAGATATAAGTAAAAAGACCAAACTGTATGTTTAGGAATGCACGTTTGGGTGATGAACCATAAAGAAATGAGTGGTTTCCATAAAAGTCAGGACAGCACCTCCTTGAAGGAGGGAGGACTGTGACTTGGATGGGGTACCAGGAGGCTGGCAGTTTTATTTCTGGAACTGGACAGTAGTTACAGCGTGACTGCTTTATAACAATTCACTAAGCCCTACATTTGTTCTCTGTATCTGTGTTTTATTTCACAATAAAATAGAAGGTTTAAAAAACAGTAGCACTCCCTTGGCTAGGAGAAAAAAAAATTAAACCCTCACAGCGTCATTCTTTGGACATTGAGGAGTTTTTCTAGGCTGTTCTACCTTGACTAGCCTAGGGCCTAAAAGACGTCAGGCTGAGACCAAATCAAAATCAGACTGTGGCCAGGGAGAGAACTAACCAATGGACACTGATGTGACTCAGGCTCAGAGCAGGATGCTGCTAAGCCAATGCTCATGGCGGCACCTCATCTCCAGGCCAATGACGCATTTGAAGGAAATGGCAAAAAACTTGCTTCAAAAAATTAGCAACTGATCTGCAAGGCTGAAACCATGTCTCTGTGGAAAGTTATGTCGCTAACCTGGTGCTGTGAGGTGGAGACGGGATGTCCAGGACCCAATGGAGTATCAGTGGGAAGCTGTAAGGGCAGGAGGCTACTGTCACCTTCTGAGGAGATCCTCAGGCGAGCAGCACAGGCAGCGTCTCCGGACTACTGCCCTTTAGCAGTGACTTGCTTAGGGAGGGACTGGGCTGGGCTTGCAGGAAATGGTCTCCAATAAGGTGATTTTGGTAGTACATCCTGCAGGGAGCCCGAGCCAGTCTCAAATTCAAGTGAATCCTCTGCAGAGGAAAACACCCTGAAGTTCCCACTGTCCGAGCACCAGTACCAGTGAAATAACAAGCTTTAATAAAAACGGAAAATGGCTGAAGGCATCACAATAAGTTATTTTAGACCTCAGTGTGGTTGGGGGACACTTATTTAGACATTAGGTGGGGGTGGGGTTTCGACTCCCAGCAGGCATGAGTTACAAGGCCAGACACAATTTTAAGCCCTTTTTCACAACGTTTCCAACCCAGTCTTACGGGAGGATTTCTCTCCAGGGGAGCATTTGAGAATGGAGGCCAGCAAGGAAGCGGAACTGGCTTTCGAGTCATTCAGTGTTGAGCCAACTCTTCCGAAACGTGTCAAGAAAGGACTTATATATTATTAACAACAGAAATTGTACATAGAACATTTTGACATTTAGGAGATCATTTTCAAAAAATGAGATGTGGTATAGAAAAATACTTCTCTGATTCACATGTTATAATGGTCCCACTACGTTCTGGTTTAAACAGATAAGAGAAACTTCTGTTTCTGCCTCAGATCAATAAGCACATGATTAACATGAATATACATAAACACTTTCTTATCCAAGGATGCACTGCCAGCTAGTGTACAAAGGGTGCCCATTCTTAGTTTGTGAGCTTTCCACACCTAAGGCTTTGGCTTAGCATTAAAACTGGCATTTCTCTAAGGACAGAGACAAAAGGGGGAATAATTTCCGAGAGGAGGAACATTCAACAATGTCTTGAAGAGAGAAACCCTGGATAAGTGCCACCGATGCTGCTCTCTCTGAGTCCTCAAGCGGCAAGAAGGAGAGACCCAGACATCAAGGGGTGACTAACGGTCAGTGGTTGTAAGAGGTGTGCACCCCACTGAGGACGCCCACAAGCTTTGCCTGCCGTACCTCGCGCGACGTGCAGCTCGAAGTTGCTGGCTGAGAGCTCATACAGCCCCTGCTTGAGCTCGGGGGCTCTGGGCGGTTCTACTTCTGGTGCTGGTGTCTAATAGGAAGAAACAAAACGACAGTCGCTGAGTTTGTCTGTGAAGACATAGTGACACTTGTCGAGGAGGTGATCTGTGTCTGTCTAGAACCTTCTGCAGATCTCCTCCCTCACATGGCCACCTTGAACCATTGTGGGATGCTGCTCTGTTGACGGAGGCCAGGGCAGGAATCGACCTGTTAGGTCCTCTTGACTCTTCAGCAATAAGCCCCTCGCCAGCCTCGCCCTTGACAGATGCTCTAGGACTGACATTCGAGGGCACCCAGATGACAGCTGTCCCCACCCCAACCTGTCCTTTGCTGCCCCTAAACCCAACCAAACACAGCAGACAAACTGAAGGATAGGCCCACCCCAAACTAGCACCTAGTCCCGTTCTTTGAAATGTGATCTGAGTTTCACAGCAAATACAAAAAAAAATTCCTCAGGGACTGGCTCGGAAGGAAGCAGCACCTGAAGACACAAAGGTAGCGAGACAGACCAACTGAGAACGAGAAACCATCAGAGAACAGGAGGGCCTGGCTACCCTTTATTCACAGACACGGTGAGAAAAACTGTGAAGGAAGGTTAAACTGTGAAGGACTGCTGAAAGGAAAAAGGACGTGATGAAAAGGGAAATTCAGGTGAACAAAAGGCCACAGAGAAAACCACAGGACAAGCATGAGCTGTACTTGAAGAGACAATATAATTCACGTGACTAAGTGGGACAGAAACACACAATGAAGGGGCAAGAAGTGGCTTTTTTAAAAGATGCTTCTGGGGGAGCCCCATGGCCTAGTGGTTAAGTTCAGCACGCTCTGCTTAGCGGCCTGGTTTCGGTTCCTGGGCACAGACCTACACCACTCGTCGGTGGCCAGGCTGTGGCAGTGACCCACATACAACATAGAGGAAGACTGGCACAGATGTTAGCTCAGGGCAAATCTTCCTCAGCAAAAAAAGACGACGCTTCTGCCACTACCTGAGCAGACACCAATGTGTATAATTATACAGTTAGCACAATACTACACCATTGTAAATTTCTCAATTTTTGAGGCCAGTACAGCTGTGGCCTCCAACCAGAGCAATCAGAGCTAAAGAAAAGATCAATGAATTGCCATTTTGCTATAGACACATGGGTGTTTATTACTTAATTTTTATCTGGCCATTCATATGTCTATTAAAAAGAATATCCAAGTTAAGTCATGAAAAGCTTTAAAGGTGCTGACAGCTCACAGCTGTGCAGAGTTGTAATCAGAAGGCACCATGAAGTTTTCCTTTCTGCTGCTGGCTTGTCAAAACTTTGAAAGTGCTAAGTACCCACACAAAAAGATGCTCAAGAATGATGGCTAAGTAAACAGTCAGTGAGTTCCGCTACGGTGAAACAAAACACTCTATGTCACCTTTGTAAGATGGTCAAATGGCTTTCAGTATTCAACTGTTCATTTATGGCACATGGGGGCACTGTCACTTCCTGTGCTCTGTGGCAGACACCAGAGCGGTCCCCACCATCATGGGAACACCATGGTGTATTACAGAAATGGGTCCATTCTCACCCTGCTGCTGACAATGTGAGTTTACAGATTCTTAAGAAAGCAATCTGGCAATATTCATCAAGAGCTGTAAAAATGGTCTTGATTTTTTTTTTTTTGCCTTGCAACTTTATATCTGGGAATATATTCTAAAAACATCACTCAAAAGTAGAAAAAAAGTCTTTACAAAGATAAACATGTTCCTTATAGCATTTCTTATGACAGAAAAATTAGAAATAACCTAAATATCCATTGACAGACAAGAGCTGAATTATGGCAAATCCACATAACATAAAATATGATCAATATAAAGATTAAAAATATCATTAATGAAATAAACCATGTTTCTATGATTACCACTGTTTAAGAAAAAAATACAGAAGCAAACATGGAAATATAAAAATTGGGGTAGAATGTAAGAAATGGCAGGTTTTCTTTTCTTTAAGTTTCTTTAATATTGTCATAACACTAGGGTAACAAATCTAAATTTATCCTGTTTAAATATGAAAATGTATATATTAAGTTACTTAGGTATAAATACAGATGAAGAACTTTTTAAAATGGTTTTGCTTACAAGAAAAAGCAAAGTTCAAACTTAAAAGAATTTTCAGTTTGCAATATAAAGTTTGAATTTTTGAACTTTTCTACAATAAGGCACATTCTCATTGTTTCCGGCATTTATCTGAGACGGCTATTGCTCTGAGACTCTTAAGATACGGCCAGGGGCAACGGTGGTTCTGGGGTGGTGACGGGTGGATTCCACACAGCCATGCCCCTCCCACATGGAGGAGACAGGCCACTTCCCCGCAGGACGTCCCCGCTGAGCCCAGGCCTGGCCTCACAGTCCTCCCCGGCCTGCACTTCTGGGGGCCCCTCCTCTTTATTTGGCCCACAAGATGAAGTCTCTCTGCTATCCTGATACTGGGTGCTGCTTTCTTGAATAAAGTCATCCTAGCTTTTTTGGTAAAAAGTTTATTTTAGAAGTGCTTTTGAGACTATTAACTCTTTTCTAAAATTGGCTTCCTCCCATCAGAGAACATTTTCACAAAGGAAACAATTTAAAGTTTAAATCTATATGAAAGTTACACCTGCTCCTCTAGCTTTCTTGCCATGACAAAGATGCAAATTTACTCTCTGAGAGGTTTGTGGTTTTCCCTGTTACCTAAAATTAGGTAAGCCTCTGGTCAGCACTTATTCAACACCACACGCCAACGCTCTTCACCACACAGTTACAGACTTTTCAAAATGTGAGGTCAAGTAGCACTTAGGAAGCAGCTGGGTTTCTGCTTAGCTGTGACATCTACACAGAATACGAGGGCGAGTTGGAGGACCACATAGACACCCTGGAAAATGACACCAATAGCAGCAGAGGCCCCCCAAAACTCCTGGAATTGCACATGAACACAGACAAACTTCAAATCAGTGGACGCCTATCTGCTGCAATAAAGCAGTCTTAGTTACTTGTTTAAATTGAAATTACACTCAAAAGACTTCGGATGCCCTTAATGTTTCATCAGAAATGTACAGCATGGAAACACTGGCCATCTTTCCAGCCCCTCAGCAATCTAATACCACAAACCATCAAAGTCCACCTCTGCCCCTGGGAGCCTGAGCATTCGGCATTATTTGGAAAGCACCGCACACAGAGGGACACTTAATGAATGGTTTACCATTGTAATGATTTATAACAAAATTAAGATGCCCAACTTAATTGGAGAGGGGGAGGATTATAAATTTTCTTAGTAAGTAACATTCTCCACACAGCTATGTCTTTAAAAAACATCTCAGAAATCACAGTTTTCCCCAATTTCCTGATATTACCCTTAGTAGGGAGGGACATGAAGACACTAAGAGTATTAAGGGTATTAAATTATGTTATCAGCAAAGCCAGTCAGGGCCTTGGGGACTGAGGGTTGAGAAGAAAAGGAAAGATTCACACTGTGGCTATAGCTGGTGGGAGTAAGAGCGCGCAGGTATCTAGGCGGGGCTGGGGGAGAGGGCGTGGGGACAAAGCTGGCCTGGGCTGGATATTCTGGCTTAGGCCTGGTGCTGACCTCAGGTGGCCCAGAGTCAATCTCTGGTGCTAAGGAATTATTGCTACTTGTACTGCAGGTGAGAGTGGCATAGAGGTTATGTTAAAAAGTCGTAAGTGCTCACCTGTGAGATGCGTACTAAAATACTGAGAAGTGACCCTCCATGAGGACTGACTCTGCAGCCAAACCAGGGGTGGAGAGGCAGGTAAGACAAAACAAGGTGGCAAAATGGGGATAACCGCTGAAGCTGGGGACAGGCACATGGGACATCTCCATTATACTCCTTCTCATCGAATTCATTAGACTCTTCTTTCTACTTTTGTGCATGTTTGAATATTTCCATAATAAGGAAGTTTTTTAAAAGTCCACCTTTTTCCAATTACATAAGGTTCCTAGAGTAGTCAAAATCATTGACAGGAAGTAGAATGGGGGTTGCCAGGGGCTGGGGGAGAGGACAATGGGAGTTAGTGTTGGGTACGGGGTTTCAGTTTTGCAAGATGAAAAAAGTTCTGGAGATGGAAGGTGGTGAGAGTTGCACAACATTATGAATGTATTTAATACCACTGAATAGTACACTTAAAAATAGTTAAGATGGTAAATTTTATATTATGTGTATTTTACCACAATAAAAAAATTGAGACAAAAAGTTTATCTTTACTTAAGATATCAGTAAGTTTTAAAAAAGTAGAAATTTGCTTTAAAATGGTAGCCTTAATTTTTCACCTAAACTGGCCTCTTTATTGCCCCAGCTGCAGGAAGAAGGAGAGGGAGGGAGGCTTTCTGTGCACTCACGGCGGGCTCCTCGTTCAGCGTCTGCAGCATCCAGTTTTCCAGTGCCTGGAAGTCCCGAGGACCCTGGTACTTCACGGCTTCTTGGCCAGGCTTGAAAAACTTCAAGCTGAAAGAGTATCAAAGGATTAGACCGAGCAGATTTTTAAAGCACTTCAACTGCTCTGAGTGGAGAGCACTGTCTTAGCAGGGAGCAGAGTCACTCAGGGAAACAATCAGAAAATGGGTTGTCAGCGGGCGGCAGCCAGGCACACATCCGCCACTCTGAGAAAACTTGAAAAAGAAAGAAAAATAATGTCCCAGGAGATAATATATTCACTTAATCCTAAACTTTTAAAAGTTTCTTATTTTATTCAAGAAAAATAAAGCTGAGGTGAATATATCAAGCCTAACACTGTGAATTAACCCCCAAGCTGCTAGTGTTCAGCTGTGCAGAACTCTCAAGCCTCGCCCTGCGAAGTACTTGTTATCCTGCCTAGGTATTGGTAGTTCTTATGTTCTGCACTTCTTTATAAAAAAAATTAGAACTGTAGTAGAAATAGCATCATTGTGCAATAAATGCATTTCCAGGCTACCTTGTCAGCTATTCGGCTCTTATAAAGCTTGAATATCCCAATATCGTGAGAATTCAAGTTTCCAACTATAAGAACAACCTTGCCATTGGTCTATTCACTTCCCCACAGACAAGAAATCTTTTCTTTTTCCTACACATAATAGCCTCTGAAGGTATCTGTAGACAGACTATGGAGCACTTCCTTTAGTGGTGAGCAAAAGTCATCACCAGAGGCTGAAATGAACACTTCCAGATCCTGTAATTCCACTCAGGAATTCCATTCCACTGGTAATGAGAAAACAGACTCTAGATAAAACTTAATAGAAGGTGTCAAGGAATGGGAGGGGATTAATTCTTCCACTGAAAGAATTGACAGAAGTGTCAAGGATGGAGAGGGAAATACAGCAACTGACAAAAGAAATAGACTAGCATTTTTTGGCAAGCCTGTTAAACTAAAACACCCCTAACACTTCTACAGCATGTAGTACGTGGATCTTGTTAGTAGATACCCAATGTGCAGATTCAAAATGTAAGAAAAGTCAAGATATGCAGAAATCAGAACTGTGGGTTTGAATAGCCAACTCCCCAAAGGCCTTGAAATCAAGTTTTATAGCTATACGAGAAAACCAACACATCGGCTGGAATAGGCACTTAAATTAAATTAAATTAAAACTAAAATGGGCTTACTAGCCTTTCCCAGAAGCTAAGACTCTGTGATGGGCTGACATGACGTCCCCAATGTGCCTCCAGTGATGAATACATTCCCTGCTTCCTCAGTAGCTTATACTTTTATAACCATAAGAAAAAGCCAAAATCCAACTAGATTTGGCCAGTACACCAGTTTCTTCATGAAGTTTAACACTTTAAGCAACTCCAAAGTATGATCTCACAACTCTGAATGCCCACGCCTGACCTGGGACCTCAAGAAGCTCCAGAAATGTGTGTTTTACCCACAGAGAACTAGAGGATGCTTACTGTACTTCTCCATCTCCCTTCTCTCTCCCCCAAGTGCACACCGCCCCGCCCCCAGTGCTTCAGGACGGAAAATGAGAGTATCCTCAACAATCAGGAAGGACCAGGCGTCATCAACCTCATTCCCCACTTTACTAACGCTAAAATACAGTAAAACCAGGGGCCGGCCTGGTGGCGTAGTGGTTAAGTTCACACGCTCCGCTTCGCCGGCCTGGGTTCGCAAGTTCAGATCCTGGGCACGGACCAATGTGCTGCTTATCAAGCCATGCTGTGGCGGCGTCCCATATAAAGTAGAGGAAGATGGGCACGGATGTTAGCCCAGGGCTGATCTTCCTCAGCAAAAAGAGGAGGATTGGCAACAGATGTTAGCTCAGGGCTTATTTTCCTCACACACAAAAAAAATACAGTAAAACCGAACCTGTGATTTTTCTCTAATTTGGTGTGCACTGAGCAAAACAAAAATAAACATTTTTCTTTTTTAATCTCTTCTTGCTGTTGGATTGAAAATCTTTCTAACCTGCCCAAGTCTGAGATTCTTCCTTAAGTTCATTCAGCCTAGGGATAGAATGAGAGCTTCCTTTACAGACCTTTCACTCTGTCTGGGGCATCTGACTTCAGTTCTCATTGTAGATGGAGATGGAGGAGGCTATGAAGAGTGGCCACAGGGTACAGCCCCAAATCTTTCTGCTATTACCAGACCCCCACATGGGCATTTGTTTTTCCTGGTGATCTATGTCTCTTTCAAGGAGACTGTAGGGGAGACATTCCCCATTTATGGGTCGCTATGGAAAACAATGCGATGCAAGTTCTACTAAAGACAAGATGGTGTTGTGGGTTGAACTGTATCCCCTAACACAGATCTGTTGAAGTCCTAACCCACAGAACCTAGAATGTGACCTTATTCAGAAACAGGATCTTTATACAAGAAGGCAAGTTAAAATGAAGTTATTGGGGTGGGCCCTAATCCAATATGACTGGTGTCCTAGAGAGAGACACGCACACAGGAAGAAGGCCGTGTGAAGATGGAGGATTGGAGCCGTGTCTACAAGACAAGGAACGTCAGAGGTTGCCAGCAAACCACCAGAAGCTCGGAAGAGGCAAGGAAGGACTCCCTGACAGGTTTCAGAGGGAGCATGGGTCTGCTGACGCCTTGATTTTGGGCTTCTGGCCTCCAGAACTGTGAGATGATAAATGTCTGTTCTTTCCAGCCACCAGTTTGTGGTACTCTGTTACGGCAGCCCTAGGAAACCTCCTTCGGCCCTGCCCCGCTCACATTTTCCAAGATGATAGATTCTTCATTGGCTCAACAGGAAGATCTTGAAACATTTTCCTGAGCACAGTCAGCCATGTCTTGGGGCATGGGAACCCAAATTCCCTCCTTTTCCAATCTTCTACTCCAGTTACAGGTGCTGGGAAGAATGACATAAAAGCTAATACACTGACACACACCTCACATTCAGGCATTTACATTTATTGTCTGTTTGAGGCCTTGCAATCACAGGCCTGATGAGACGGGTGCTATTTAAGAGGAAATAAAAGTGCACATGGGTAAATCTATAAATGCCCTAATGCAACTGCCTCTTGCGTTCTGTGAAAAAAAATCTGTCCTCAGCACTTGTGCAGGGCTGTGATAGTTACAGAGCTTCCTTCCCAAACCTCGTTCAGTGTAGTGTAAGCTCATTTTAGTTTTTCTTAACACAAAACCAGTGCATGGTTTTCTTGGGGAGACCATACCTTCTAAAAAAAATCAGGACACATGAGGGGCCACCCCTGGCGTAGCGGTTGGGTGCGCGTGCTCCGCTGCTGGCGGCCCGGGTTTGGATCCCGGGTGCACACTGATGCACCGCTTGTCAGGCCATGCTGTGGCGGCGTCCCATATAAGGTGGAGGAAGATGGGCATGGATGTTAGCCCAGGGCCAGTCTTCCTCAGCAAAAAGAGGAGGATCGGCATGGATGTTAGCTCAGGGCTGATCTTGCTCGCAAAAAAAAAAAACATAGAAATCAGGACACATGATCCAACATGGATCCTTTTAAATCTGTGAATAGCACCTGTGGAGTAACTGATGTTACAGCCAGATGGCCCGTATGACCAGGTCCAGGTGGAACCCTCTACTCCCCTCTCAGATACCCCCTAACATGTGTCCTCTCAGCCCTATTAAAGGTCCTGTTTCACCTTCGCTGGGGCATGGTTTGTGGTGTACACAGCCACATGGCCACACACAGCCAGCTGTTTAAGAGTGGACACCATGGCCAACCATCTGCTGCTCCTGCACCTTGAAAGTAACAGCTTCGCAACAAGTGAGCATCTTTCTCCTCACCTGGTCCCACTACTCACTGACGCTTCTTTGGGATGCTCTTCATCCAAGCAGAGTTTACTTTAATGGCAATGCTAGGAAGCATAGGATGGTGATGCCTCTAGGTAGGTACATATAGTAGGAAATTTTATCTCTATTGCTCTGATTTGATGTAGACTTGAATCATGGCACTTAGATTAGCAAGCAGTCATCAAAGACCAAGAGTTGCAGAATCCTTGAGGGAAATGCCAAATTTCCAAATGTTGGGGAAACCTTACATTTATTGGGTATGCTCAGATTGGCGTTTGCACACATGTTATTTCATATAACAACGTTATGAGGGGTGGGGTGGGCACCAGCATCCTACTTCAGACTTAGAGAGGTTAAATAATGTGGCCAGAGCTGCATGATAAGTAAATGGTAGAGCTGGGATGCAAACCATGGCTTCTAGGTTCAAGCCCAGAGCTCTTTCCATGTTGCCTCTCAGGTATGAAGACAAGCTCAGGTTTCATAAAAAACTGGCTTCATCAATTTGAAATATTTCAGGAGGTGCAGTGGCCAACCCTTCCCCTCATTCTTCTGGAAACAGCACCTTCCCTTTTCTGGAGAATGGCTCTTCCCTCCAACACTTGCCATGTGGTCTCAATGGGGCTGCCATCTTCCTACAAGATCCTGGCTTTCTGGCTACAAGGACTGTTCCTGGAATGAACACTCCATCCAAGCTGGGCCAATCAGTGGTGGGCCCAAGTCAACCATGACAACAGAGATGCAGAGCCAGAAAGTTAAGTCACCTTAAGGGAGGTGCAATAAAAACAGGCCCCCAAACGCCTGGAGCTGAGCCTCAGAGCTTCCCCACAGCCTTCTCATTAATCCCCTCTTTCTCTATTAAGCCAGTTTCAGTTTCTGTTTCTTAAAACCAAAAAGCTCTTCACTGTCAAGGGAGTAAGTAGCATTGCTTGTCAGAACTGCTATACTCCAAGGGTTTGCCAGCTTCCTTTCCAACAGAAACAGCCCTTGTGCTGTTCACATGGGAAATTACTCTAGGAAGGATGCTTAAGAAAAAGAGCGGCCAAAAATTCAAACTAAAATTGATGACAAAGTTTGTGCTCCATGTGTAAATGTACTTGTGAACATCAAACATGACAGGACCTCATGGGGACCACCATTTGTGTCTCACAAACACATACTCTTATAAACAGGAAAACCCAACACTGATTAATTAAAGGCTTTTTCCAAACAAGGAACAAAAAGCCATCTAATATAGACACAGCGTTAAATATAATCCTTCCCTAACAACAGGACCGCTTGCTTAAATTTAGCATCACCTCACTCCTCAGAACTACACAGGAAGCTACCAAAAGTTTAACTAGGACTTTGTTTGGCTGAATGCAGCTGGCAAAAAGATGTGGAAAACCTGGAATCATATGGGAAATGCACCTCCTTCCCACTTACGTGGGGTATCCTCGCACCCCCTGGGCCGAGCACACCTCCGAGTCGGCCGTGCAGTCTACTTTTGCCACGTAGACCTTGGCATCTTCCATGCTGTTGTACTTGTCTCCCAGGTCGTTCCAAGTCGGCTGCAGCCGTTGGCAGTGTCCACACCTGTAACAAGGTGAGAATAAGAAGCATTCTGAGTGCCGGGTCAGAGGGTGCCTGACCTACCTCTTCAGCCATCTCCACAGGGCAGTGGAGCTGTCTGATCCTTCTCTACACTGCAGCAGTAACGGACAGCTCACACTTACTACAGAACATCACTCCCTTTAACACCCTCTAGAGGGTCCCTGCATTATTCTCAGCATGAAATCAAAACTTAGCAAGGCTTTGCTCCAGATCCTCTCTGATCCTGCCCCTGCTGACCTCCCATTTGACCTCTATACACCAGCTTTCTCCTCCCCTTGCAGTCCACATGAGCCACACTGCAACATCTGCAGTTTTCTGAAAGGGCCATAGCTTGGCTTGCCCCTGGGAATCAGTATTTACTCCTTCTCTGACACTTCCTCCCTAAAGCCACCTGGCTAATTCCTACTTGCCCTGCAGGTTGTTGTGGTGTCACTTTCTCCAAGAAGTCTGCCCTGACTCCCAGGCTGTTTGGTGCACATTCTATTCTCTTCCTCTTCTGGAATGCTCTCCTGCTCCCCCTCTGCTGCTGCAGCTTAGCAATTCTTGCTATAATTGCTCCTTGACGTTAAGTCAGGTCTCCTCTACCACTTAACCAAGTATTTGCAAATACAGGCAACTTCAAAATTAAATCAATTCTGCATTTTTCTCCAACGAGAAGCTTTAAAAAAAAGTTTGTAGGGGCCAGCCTGGTGGTGGTTAAGTTCGCAGGCTCCATTTCGGTGGCTTGGGGTTCACAGGTTTGGATCCTGGGTGCGGACCGATGCACCGCTTGTCAAGCCATGCTGTGGCGGCACCCCATATAAAGTAGAGGAAGATGGGCATGGATGTTAGCCCAGGGCCAATCTTCCTCAGCAAAAAGAGGAGGATTTGCAACAGATGTTAGCTCAGGGCTAATCTTCCTCACCAAAAAAAAAAAGTTTGTAGCCACTCAAACTTTTAAATTTGATATGTATACTTATAATATTCATTATATGAATTTAATTATACACAAGTATATTAAAATCACCTATCATTTAAAATATTAACTTAGAAGTATTGCTTCTTGCTACTCTTCACATTTCTTAACAGCATCAGCATCTTTCCCATTGCTAAATCTACTTTTTGAGTCATATAGCTGATCATCATCTTTAATTGTCAGCTGTCTGTATTGCGATATTTTAATTTTGTCTGAACCAACACTGGAAACTTTATCTCCAGCCTCAAGTACAGTCATACAGCATATGGCACATGGGTTTTTTCATTCATCTGGTAAGTGTGTATTCATGACATCTACAATGTAACTACTTGCTGTACTGCTTTTTAAAGTGATCTTCAAAATACTTGCTTACAAAATAATTTCTCAATAAAATCGGTGTTAAATCTCTTCGCCTCTTTTCTTTTCTGCCAGATGACCTCAATAATAAGCATCTAAAGGTAGCACTGAAGAAGTTTGCTTCAAGCTAATGTGGCTTCCCTAAGCAGCACTTTCTTGGCCAGCTAAGAGAATCCCTGCTTTATAAGAAACTCAAATACTGACTCATACTGAGACCCTCTTCTCTGCAAGATAACTGTGAGGGGAAACCAGTGTCATATTTAAGTATATATGGTACAAGTGCCAAGAAGACAAGCACTGTCCTTTTTACAACTGTATTTTCAGTATCTAGGACAGGCCCGGCACGTACTAAGTGCCTGGCAATTTCTCAGTGATGGATCCATAGGTGCCATGGAGTTGGTACTTCTGGTTTGGGACCCTTGTGGCTACAGCACCAACCTCTGAGACAGCAGCTGCATTCAGAAGGCAGTGTGTGGCCATGTGATAGAGCAGAGCCACCTGGTCCTCCTAAGGAGGCGGCCCCAACCTTGACCTCATTATCACCAGGTTCAGTGTGACCCACAAACTGGCCAAAGAAAATCTGTGACCTGATGTTGGCACAAAATCTATAGCTTACATCTGCCAAGGTCAGAGCAAAAATACACAGATCAATGTTTTTATTACACGGTGCCCCTGTCCCCAAATCCAACACTCCATAGAGACTGAAACTGGAAAGAGATGGGGGGACAGCCCACAGCATATTCTATCTGAGTTCCAATCTGCTCTTAAAGTCTACCTTTTAAATGCCATCACAGAAACCCACACATCTCTATTGAAATATTTTGTAGGAGACTATTAAAAAGCAAACAAATAAAAACTTTAAAAGTTACTTTTTCTGGGAGTATAAAAGTCTATAAGCCATACCAATGAAAAAGGAATTTACTTAATGCCAAGTGCCCAGGTTTTCCAGGCTTCTCTCCTCCTCAGTCCAGGACTAGCTGGTGATTATTAGAGATGCCAAAATTAAAACTCCATTGGCACTGCATGGACTTACTATGTCTACATGTCAGTTTTTCTTTAAAAAATAAAGACGGAAATCCATGGACAGATTTATTCCACTCAAATAGGCTCCAGTTAACTAATTGGAATATACTCTGAGAATATTCCTTCACAGAGTAACTATTAATATTGAATGATTATTTTATGTTACAAAGTATTTTCTATACTACTAGTAGTTCTAAAAATTCAAGTCAGTTGGTTCTTGGGAACTTGAAACACAATGTATCGCACAGATACATTGTTGATAAATGATAGCTATGAGCCAGACCGGCCAGAAGAAGTTGATTTAACTTCAAATGAACTGAAACACAGTAATAGCCTGAATATGGGATTAAGAGAAAAAAAGTTTCCTCCACTTTGATGGGCACATTTTCTGAACAGTCCGTTTTTCTTGGGCATCTTCTCTCTATTCCGTCCTACATCCCTTTCCCACATCCCAGTGAGCCTCTCCCCACTCTGGGGAAGAATGCCAACTTCTGCAATAAGCCTGCAAACTGCCTTGTGCCCTAAACCTGACTTTCTGCTCTGCTCTCTGAGAACTTCCCTTCATCACCGCATCTAGGGCCTGGAAGGAAGGCTCTACCTGTGCTTCAGGGAATGACAGGAAGTCCTTCTGTAAGATAACTCCCAGGGGAGGGGTGTATGGGGTTGGCACCAAGGCCCACACCAAAACTCCCACTCAAGAACCAAGGCAGGAGGTACCCTCTGTTCAACGTGGTGACTCTTCCTATCTCACACTTTCCAGATGACCAAGAAAGCTGAGGGGAGGAGGTGCCAGAGGCCAGCCTTGAGTTGAGGGCCCGTGGGCTCCTGTCACCGAGAGCACAGCTCCCCATTCACTGCGAGCTGCGTAGGGGTCCCCAGAACTCGCACTACTATCCTTCTCAGGGTAGCCCAGGAACCTTCTTCTGCCCGGGCCACCCTTTCCCACCTCAGGAACACACAAAGTGGGGAATCACACCTTCGTGAGTTCCTAGTTTTCAACTGAGCCCTTGGGCAGGGGATGTGCCCTGCGGCGAGGGAACGGAATCCACGGCCGGACCCCTAGACGCCGGCGGCCGCACGTGGCGCCCTCCCCCCACCCCCACCCCCGGTCCCGGGCGCACCCGCAGGCCTCTGGCTCCGGCCGGTGCAGGAAGTTCAGGGCAGGGGGCGGCGGGTGGCTTCTGTGCTCCCAGCGGCCCCAAAGGGCGACTACGCCACCTTCCCCTCCCCCAGTGCGGGGACCCGGGAGAAGGGGCTCGGGAGGGGGA